CCTGACTCTGCTCCCACTTTATTGAACTCCTACCATTCCACCGCAGCCAGGGAACTCTTCTTGGGTGTTTGCCACAGAAGCACCACTGGGGAGCAACATCCCATCACTTCCACCTCTGGCTGCTGGCTCTAGTGCCAGCCTGGGGAAAAGCAGGGCCACCACCCAACCCCCAAGCCCCCACACCCTCTTGACCACCGGCCAGGTCTTGGTCGGGATAAATGACCATGGTGTTGGCATTGTAAGAAAAAGTCCACGTGCGCTCAGTTGCCTGTTCGCCCTTGGCCAGTCGTGATGGCTCTGGCTGGGTGTGGCAAGAGGGTGCCTCACAGGCGCTCCTGAGCTGCTAGGGATCCAGAATACCTCCTCAACAGGTCAGAGGTCCGGATGATGTCCCAGGATCATGGGCCCTCAGCCCTGATGCCTTGGAGCACTCCCTGTTCCCAGCGGGCCCAACGTGGTGGAATCTTGGGAGCTCGGGAGATGGAGAAAGGTGGACGGCGAGCGTCTCAGGGGTTCGGATATGAGCCTGGCATCCCCGGGCTGACAGTGCCAGCTGGAAGCCAGTGGGCATGGCTGGCCTGGGCTCTTGGGGCAGCCAGGCACCTCTGCCGGCATCTACGGGCATACCACCCTGAACCCACCCTATCTCGTCTGATGTCAGACGCTAAACAGTGTGGGGCCTGGTTAGTACTTGAATGGGAGACCGCCTGGGAATACCGGGTGCTGTAGGCTTTCTTGTTTTCTTTCTTTTCTACCTGCCTTTCTATCCTTCTCTCTTTCTGTCTTCTCTCTTTCTATCTTTCTTTTCTTTCTTTCTCTCTTTTGTTCCTTCTTTATTTCTTTCCTTCTTCCTTTCTTTCTCTTTTGTTCTTTCCTTCTTTTTTTCTTTTCTTTCTCTTTCTTTCGTCCTTTCTTTTCTTTCTCTCTCTTTCTTTGTTTCTGTCCTTCTTTCTTTCTTTCTCTGTTTTTTCTTCCCTTCTTTTCATTTGTTTTCTTTCTTTCTTCTTTGTTTCTTTATTTCTTTATTTCCTTCTTTCTTTTCTTTTCTTTCATTTTCTTTCTTTTCTTTATTTTTCTTTCTTTCTCTCTTTCTTTCTTTCCTTCTTTTCTGTCTTTCTCTGTCTCTTTCTTTCCTCTCTTTCTTTCCTTCTTTCTTTCTTCCCTTCTTTCTTTCTTTTCTTTTTTTTTTCTTTTTTTTTTTTTTTTGAGACGGAGTCTCGCTCTGTCACCCAGGCTGGAGTGCAGTGTCCAGATCTCAGCTCACTGCAAGCTCCGCCTCCCGGGTTCACACCATTCTCCTGCCTCAGCCTCCCGAGTAGCTGGGACTACAGGCGCCCGCCACCTCGCCCGGCTAGTTTTTTGTATTTTTTAGTAGAGACGGGGTTTCACCGTGTTAACCAGGATGGTCTCGATCTCCTGACCTCGTGATCCGCCCATCTCGGCCTCCCAAAGTGCTGGGATTACAGGCTTGAGCCACCGCGCCCGGCCTCTTTCTTTCTTTTCTTTCTTTCTCTCCTTTTTTCTATTTTCTTTCTTTCTTTCTTTCTCTTTCTTTCTTTCTTTCTTTCTTTCTTTCTTTCTTTCTTTCTTTCTTTCTTTCTTTCTTTTTCTTCCTTCCTTCCCTTCTCTCTCTCTCTCTTTCTTTCTTTCTTTCTTTCTTTCTTTCTTTCTTTCTGTCTGTCTCTCTTTCTTTCTTTCTTTCTTTCCCTCCCTCCCTCCCTCCCTCCCTCCCTCTCTCTCTCTCTCTCTCTTTCTTTCTTTCTTTCTTTCTTTCTTTCTTTCTTTCTTTCTTTCTTTCTTTCTTTCTTTCTTTCTTTCTTTCTTTCTTTCTTTCTTTTTCTCTCTTTCTTCTTTCTTTTTTTCTTTCTTTCCTTTTCTTTCTTTCTTTCATTCTTTGTCTTCCAGATGGAGTCTTGCTCTGTCACGCAGGCTGGAGTGCAGTGGCGTGATCTCACCTCACTCCAAGCTCTGATTCCCGGGTTCACGCCTTTCTCCTGCCTCAGTCTCCCTAGCAGCTGGGATTACAGGCGCTCACCACCACACCCAGCTCATGTTCTGTAGTTTTAGTAGAGACGGGGTGTCAACGTTTTAGCCATGCTGGTCTGGATCTCCTGACCTCGTGATCCACCAACCTCGGCCTCCCAAAGTGCTAGGATTACAGGCGTGATCCACCATGCCTGACCTGCTGAAGGCTTTTGTGGCTTCACCCCTCTCTCCCTTCCCCCTACTATTGCCATACTTCCCAACTTCCCCTGTCTCTGCTCCCCATTTATCGCGCACCTACACACCCGCCACAGCCTGAGAACCCCTCCTGGGTGTCTGCCACCAAAGCACCAGGGGGCTGCAGGACATCACCACTTCTACCTCGCTGTCACTCTTCCAGGTGCCCAGCTCCAGCACGGGAGGGCAGCGGGCTGGATCCCAAAGGCGCAGGCGCGGGTTGCCTGCCGTTTGCAATGCCTTCCCACTCCCAGAATGCGCAGGTGATTCAATCCACTCAACAGACCCTGCTGCAACCTTCCAAACGGGTTAAAGGGACTGGCAGTAGTAGCAGGTGCCACACACACTAGCCAAGACCTCCGCTCCAGACCGCAGGGCCTGCTTTTTCTGAGGGAAGGACATTGCTATGCCAGCCAACAGGAAAACAGTGCCTGTGCACCCGGATTCCCATTGCCAACAACCTCGTGTAAACTAAAGTCCCGAGGACTTGCCAAAGACCCAGGCCTTGGACCCCGTGGGCATGGCTGGTGCCATGGCTCCCGCTAAATGGGCAGGGGCACTCTGCAAATCAAGGGGCCCTCTGCACTGTGCCAAGAGCACATGGAGGTGCCAACAAAAGAAGGAGCCCATGAAACCCACCTCCAAAGCAAGCAATTAATCCAAGAAAAAACCCATCACAGAGCTCTGTAACTCCTCTCGCATGGACGGCCTGGCCACCCTGTTCTAGCCCAGCCCAAGGCCCCTCCACCCTATCCCGGCCTGCTCAAAGGGGCCCTGGCTAACAGAGCATTGTGCTCCCTCTCCATGGCTCTATCTCTCTCACTCTCTATCTCCCTCCCCCTCTCTCTTCTGGGTTTCCCTTGCATCTCCTGCTCTTTCTGTTGCCTTTGCTATGTCTCTCTGTCTATCTCTTTTTTCCTGTCCCTTTCTCTTTCTCTATCTCTCTGTCTGTCTCTTTCCCTCTCCCCCTCCCCGTCTCTCTCGATCTCTGTCTTTCTCCCTCCCTCGGTTTCAATCTCTCCATCCATTTCTTCCTTGCTCTCCCTGAAGACGTTTTTGTGTGTGTGCATGTGTGTGTGTGTTTGTGTGTGTCTGTGTGTGTCCACGTGCGTGTGTGTGGGTTCCGGCACGCGAGCACCCGGGTGTGTCTCTGTGTGGGGCTGTGGATTTGCTCCTGTTGGTGGTGGGGTGTGTCTGGGTTTCTCTCAGCCCCTCTCGCCGTTGATCATCCTGCCGGCTCTAGTGCTAGCCTGGGACAAAGCAGGGCCATCCCCCATCCCCAACCCACCATGCCTTCTTGCCCACTGGCCGGGCCTTCGTCGGAACAAGCGTCCGTTGTGGGGGAGTTGTGATAAAAAGGCTATGCATGACTGGGCCAGCTGTTCGCCCTTGGCCAGCTTTGTCTGCTCTGGGTGGGTGGGGCAAGAGGGGGCCTCACAGGAGCTCCTGAGCGGCCAAGTACCAAAACAATACCTCCCTGACAGGGTGGAGGACTGAACATGGTACCAGGATCGTGGGCCCTGGGCCCTGACTCCTCTGAGCACTCCCTGTTCCGAGCAGGTGGGATGGGGTGGAAACTCGGGAGCTCAGGAGCTGGGGTAAGGATGCGGGAGAGACGCTCGGGGGTCCGGATCACAGCCCCATGGCCCCTGGCTGGCGCTGCTGGCTGGAAGTTGGCTGGCATGGCTTGGCAGGACTCTTGGGGCTCTTGGAGCAGGCGCCTCTGTGGGCCATGGCACCCTGAACATGCCCTATCTCGTCTGATCTTGGAAGCTAAACAGCGTCGGCCCTGTTAGCACTTGGACAGGAGACCGCGTGGGAATAGTGCATGCTGTAGGCTTCTTTGCTTTCTTTCTTTTTTACCTTCCTTTCTTCCCTTCTCTCTCTTCTTTCTTTCTTTCTTTCTTTCTTTCTTTCTTTCTTTCTTTCTTTCTTTCTTTCTCTCTCTCTCTCTCTCTCTCTCTCTCCCTCCCTCCCTCCCTCCCTCCCTCCCTCCCTCCCTCCCTCCCTCCCTCCCTCCCTCCTCCCTCCTTCCCTCCTTCCCTCCTTCCCTCCTTCCCTCCTTCCCTCCTTCCCTCCTTCCCTCCTTCCCTCCTTCCCTCCTTCCCTCCTTCCTTCCTTCCTTCCTTCCTTCCTTCCTTCCTTCCTTCCTTCCTTCCTTCCTTCCTTCCTTCCTTCCTTCTTTTCTTCCAGATGGAGTCTCGCTCTGTCAACCAGACTAGAGTGCAGTGGCACGATCTCGGCTCACTGCAAGCTCCACCTCGAGGGTTCACGCCATTACCCTTCCTCTGCCTCCTGAGCAACTGGGACTACAGGTGCCCACCACGACTCCCGGCTCATGTTTTGTAGTTTTAGTAGAGACGGGGTTTCACTGTGTAAGCCAGGCTGATCTGGATCTCCTGACTTCGTGATCCACATGCTTCAGCCTCCCAATGTGCTGGGATTACAGGAGTGATCTACCATGCCCAGCCTGCTGTAGGCTTTTGTGGCATCCCCCATCCCTCCCTTCCCCCTACTGTTGCCATGTTTCCCAACCTCACCTGACTCTGCTCCTTCTTTATTGCCTGCCTACACCCCTGCCGCAGCCGAGGACCTCCTCCTGGGTGTCCCCAGGACACCAAAGCAACACAGGGCAACAGAATCCCACCGTTTACGCCTCGTCGGTGCCCCACCACGAGCCTGGCTCCAGTCCGGGAGGGCAGGGGGCCAGACCCTAAAGGCACAGGCATGGGTTCCCTGCCATTCACCATGCCTTCCCGGTCCCAGGGGCCTCTGCCCATGTCTACGGCCATCCCACTCTGAATGCGTCTGATCTCATCTGATCTCAGAAGCTAAGCAGGGTGGGGCCTGGTTAGTACTTGGTTGGGAGACCGTGTGGAAATACCAGGTACTGTAGGCTTTTTTGCTTTCTTTCTTGTCTTTCTTTCTTTTCTACCTTCCTTTCTTCCCTTTTCTCTCTCTCTCTCATGTATTTCTTTCTTTGTTTCTTTCTTTGTTTCTTTGTTTCTTTGTTTCTTTCTTTCTTTCTTCTTTCCTTCTTTCTTTCTCTCTTTCTTTTTTCTCTTTCCTTTCTTTCTCTCTTTCTTTCTTTCTCTCTCTTTTTTTCTTTCTCTCTCTCTCACTTTCTTTTTTCTTTCTTTTCTTTCCTTTCTTTCTTTCTTTCTTTCTTTCTTTCTTTCTTTCTTTCTTTCTTTCTTTCTTTCTTTCTTTCTTCTTTCTTTTTTTCTTTCCTTCCTTCCTTCTTTCTTTCTTCTCTTCTGTCTTCTTTTTCTTCCTCGCTCTGTCACCCACGGTGGAGTGCAGTACCGTGATCTCGGCTCACTGGAAGCTCCTCGTAGCACATTCACGCCATTCTCCTGCCTCACCCTCCTGAGCAGCAGGGACTACAGGCACCCACCCCCATGCCGGTGTCATGTTATGCAGTTTTCATAGAGACTTGGTTTCACCGTGTTAGTCAGGCTGGTCTGGATCTCCTGACCTCGTGATCCACCCGCCTCTGCCTCCCAAAGTGCTGGGATTACAAGCGTGATCCACTGCGCCTGGCCTGCTGTAGGCTTTTGGGGCTTCACCCCTCCCTCCTTTCCCCCTACTGTCAACATGCTTCCCAACCTCCCCTGACTCTACACCCCTTTTATCACCCACCTATGCACACGCCACAGCCTCAGTTGGGGACCTCCTCCTGGGGCTCTGCAAGCAAAGTGCCACCGGTCAGCAGCATACCACTGCTTCCACCTCGCTGCCACCCCATCAGGAGTCCGGCTGCAGCCCGGGAGGGCAGGGGGCCGGATCCCAAGGGCACAGACGCGTGTTGCCTGCTGTTCGCGGTGCCTTCCCGCTCCCGGAACGCCCAAGTGATTCAATCCACTCGTCGGGTGAAACCTCAACCTTCCAAACTGGGGGAAGGGGCGGGCAGGGGCAGCAGGTGCCACACACACCAGCCAAGACCTCTGCTCCACAACGCAGGGACTGCTTTATCCAGGGGAAGGACATTGGTTCCCCAGCCACTAGGAAAACAGTCCCCCTGCACCCGGATTCCCATTGCTGCCAACTTCGGGTAAACTAAAGTCCTGAGGACACGCCAGAGACCCAGGCCTCAGGCCTCCTGGTCACACCCGGTGCCATGGCTCCTGCCAAACAGGTGGGGGCACTTTGCAAATCGAGGGGCCCACTGCACTGCACCAAGAGCACAGGGAGGTGCCAATAAAGGCAGTAGCCTATGAAATCTACCTCCAAAGGAAGCAATTAATCCAAGACAAAACCGGTCTCAGTGCTCCGTTACTCCTCTGGCATAGGCATCCTGGAAACCCTGTTCTGGCCCAGCCCAAGTCTCCTTCACCCTATCCCGGCCTGCTCAAAACGTCCCTGGCTAATGGAGAATGATGCTCCCTGTCCAAGACTCTATTGCTTTTGCTCTCTTCCTTCCTCCCCCTCTCTCTTCTGTGTTTGCCCCTCCACCTCGTCCTACTTCTGTCACCTTCCCCGTGTCTCTCTGCCTCTCTTTCCCTGTCCCTCCCTCTTCCTCTGCCTCTCTGTCTGTCTCTTTCCCTCTCCCCCTCCCCTGTCTCTCTCGATCGTTGTCTCTCTCCCTCCCTCGGTTTCAATCTCTCCATCCATCGCTTCCCTGCTCTCCCTCAAGACGTTTGTGTATGCGTGCACGCGTGTGTGTGTGTTTGTGTGTGTCTGTGTGTGTGCACATGTGCGTATGTGGGTTACTGCATGCCAGCGCCCATGCGTGTCTGTGTGTGGGGCTGTGGATTTGCTCCTGATGGTGATGGGGTGTGTCTGGGTTTCTCTCAGTCCCTCTCACCAGGGATCAGGCTGCCGGCTCTAGTGCCAGCCCGGAGTCAAGCAGGGCCATCCCCCAACCCCCAACCACCCACGCCCTCTTGCCCACAGGCCAGTTCTTGTTGGGGAAGAGCGACCATGGTGGTGGTTGTGAGAAAGAGGCCATGCTCTGCTGGTCCAAGTGTTTGCCCTTGGCCAGCCCTGAGGGCTTTGGCTAGGTGGGGCAAGATGGGGTCTCACAGGAGCTCCTGAGTGACCACAGATCCAAAAGAATAACTAAGTGACAAGGCAGAGGATCAGACGGGGTCCCAGGATCGTGGGCCCTGGGCCCTGACGCCTCGGAGCACTCCCTGTTCCGAGTGGGCCCAACGTGGTGGAAGGTCGGGAGCTCTGGAGCCGGGAGAAGGCCACAGGCAAGTGTCTCGGGAGTCCTGATCTAGCATCTATGGCCATAACACCCTAAACGCGCCCTATCTAGTCTGATCTTGGAAGCTAAGCAGGGTCGGGCCTGGTTAGTACTTGGATGGGAGACCACCTGGGAATACCGGGTGCTGTAGGATTTTTTGCTTTCTTTCTTTTGTACTTTCCTTTCTTCACTTCTCTCTCTGTCTCTCTCTCTCACTCTTTCTTTCTTTCTTTCTTTCTTTCTTTCTTTCTTTCTTTCTTTCTTTCTTTCTTTCTTTTCTTTCTTTCCCTCTTTCTTTATTTCTTTCTTTCCTTCTTTCTTCTTTCTTTCCTTCTTTCTTTCTTTCCTTCTTTCTTCTTTCTTTCCTCTTTTCTTTCTTTTTTTCCTTCTTTCTCTCTCTCTTTCTTCTTTCTTTCCTTTTTTCTTTTCTTTCTTTCTTTCCCTTTCTTCCTTCCTTTCTTTCTCTTTCTTTCTTTCTTTCTTTCTTTCTTTCTTTCTTTCTTTCTTTCTTTCTTTCTTTCTTTCTTTCTTTCTTTCTTTTCTCTCTTTCCTTTTCTTTCTTTGATGGAGTCTTGCTCTGTCATGCAGGCTGGAGTGCAGTGGTGCGATCTCGGCTCAATGCAAGCTCTGCAACCTGGTTTCACACCATTCTCCTGCCTCATTCTCCGGAGCAGGTGGGACTACAGGCGCCCGACACCATACCCGGCACCACGCCTGGCTCATGTTTTGTAGTTTTAGAAGAGATGGGGTTTGACCGTGTTAGCCAGGCTGGTCTGGATCTCCTGACCTCGTCATCCACCTGTGTTAGCATCCCAAAGTGCTGGGATTACAGGCGTGACCCACCCCGCAGGTCCTGCTGTAGTCTTCTGTGGCTTCCCCCCTTCCTCCCTTCCCCCTGCTGTTGCCATGCTTCCCAACCTCCCCTGACTCTGCTCCCCCTTTATCGCCCGCCTACACCCCCGCTGCAGCCGCAGCCGGGGACCTCCTTCTGGGGGTCTGCCACCAAACCACCAGTGGGCAGCAGCGTCCCACCGCTTCCGCCTTGCAACCACCCCGCCAGGAGCCCGACTGCAGCCCGGGAGTGCAAGGGCCTGACCCCAAAGCTCAGGCGCGGGTTCCCTGCCTTTCGCAGTGCCTTCCTGCTCCCAGAACGCCCAGGCGATTCAAACTGCTCATCCGGCGCTGCCACAACCTTCCAAACCAGGGGAAGTGGCGAGTTGAGGCAGTGGGTGCTACACATGCCAGCCAAGACCTCCGCTACAGAAGGCAGGGGCTGCTTTATCCAGGGGAAGGACATTGCTTCGCCACCTACAAGGAAAAGTGACCCTGTGCATCCGGATTTCCATCGCCACCAACTTCGTGTAAACTCCATTCCCAAGGACATGTCAGAAACACAGGCCTTGGGCCCCGTGGTCATACCTAGTGTCATGGCTGTCTCCAAATGGGCGGGCACCCTCGGCAAATGTCAGGGCCCACTGCACCACACCAAAAGCACAGGGAGGTGCCAACAAAGGGAGGGTCCTAAGAAACCCACCTCCAAAGCAAGCAATTAATCCAAGACAAAACCTGTCTCAGCGCTCCATTGCTCCTCTTGCATGGACGACCTGGTCACCCTGTTCTGGCCCAGCCCATGCCCCCTCCACCCTAACCTGGCCTGCTCAAAAGGGCTCTGACTACCGGAGCAGGGAGCTGCCTCTCCAAAGCTCTATCGCTCTCACTCTCTAGCTCCCTCCCTCTTTCTCTTCTGGGTTTGACACTGCACCTCATGCTACTTCTGTCGACTTCCCTCTGTCTATCTGTCTCTCTCTCTCTCTCTCTGTCCCTCTCTCTTTCTCTGCCTCTGTGTCTGTCTCCCTCTCCCTCTCCCCTGTCTCTCTGGATTGCTGTCTCTCTCCCTCCCTCGTTTTCAATCTCTCCTTCCATCTCTTAATTGCTTTCCTTCAAGTCGTTTGTGTGTGCGTGCATATGTGTGTGTGTGCGTGCACATTTGTGCACGGGAGTGGGCAGGCGCATGTGTGTGTTACTCCGTGCAAGAGCCCGGGTGTGTCTGTGTGTGGTGCTGTGGATTTTCTCCTGGTGGTGGTGGGGTGTGTCTGGGTGTCTCTCAGCCCCTCTCGCCGGGGATCAGGCTGCCGGCTCCAGTGTCAGCCTGGGGCAAAGCAGGGTCATACTCCAACTCCCAATCCCCCACACCCTCTTGCCCACCAGCCGGGTCTTGGTCAGGACAAGTGACTGTGGTGGGAGCGTTGTGACAAAAGTCCACCTGTGGCTGGGAGTGCTGTTTGCCCTTGGACAACCCTGATGGCTCTGGGTGGCTGCGGCAAGAGGGTGCCACGGAGGTGCTCCTGTGTGGCCAGAGATCCAAAAGAATACGTCCGTGACAGGGCGGAAGACCAGACAGTGTTCCAGAAGCGTGGGCCCTGGGCCCTGATGCCTTGGAGCACTCCCTATTCTGAGTGGTCTCGACGTGTTGGAAGCTCGGGAGATCAGGAGCAAGGGGAAGGCTGCGAGCGAGGGTCTCAGGGGGTCCTGATCAGAGCCCAGTGTCCCTGGGCTGTCGGTGGCAGCTGGAAGCTGGCAGACATGGCTGGCCCGGGCTCTTGGGGCAGCCAAGGGCCTTTGCTAGGGTCTACGACCATACCACCCTGAACGCACCAGATCCTGTCTGTTCTCTGGAAGCTAAGCAGGGTCGGGTCTGGTTAGTAGTT